ATTTAAAAGGAAAAATTACCAAAGTATATAAATTGTTTTCCACATTTATTTCATTAATTTAACTTCATGGTGCTATTATACATTTTGTCATTTTTCTCGCTCTTTTCTGTGTTTCTAAGACACTTAGAAATTCAACCACTTGCATGTGATGGGTGTTTCAATCTATTTACACAATGAAAATAGTGCAAGAATTTATTTTGCACGCTTTCCATTTATTCATGCCATGTACCTAATAATGTAATAGCTACATAGCATTTTCTTTTCTGATGAGCTTCTGAAGGACTGGAGACTATTAAAATCAAAGTTAAAGGGCTAATTTAACAAGTAGGACATCTCATTTAGGAACTGATTGTGTTCAAAGAGCTTTTGATTTTGTGAAGGAACAAGGGTTTTATGGGCATTTAAAAATGTTGATACCATATTATATTCATTTAATTGTAAAGCAGATTTTTATATGAGTTTCCCTGTCTTTGAAAAGAAAGCTTAATCATACCAGGCACAAAGATTCTTGAATCAAAAAAAAAAAAAAGTCTTTTAAGAGCTGGACATTTGGCACAGCAATTGAGATGCCATTTGGGATACTCACATACCATATTGCAGTGCTCCACCTCTGATTACAACTTCCTGTAAATGTGTACCCTGAGTACTTGGATCCCTACAACTCACATGGGAGGTCTTAATAAGTTTCAGTTTCCTGATATTGAGCTTGGATCAGCCTCAGTTATTGTGGTCATTTGGGGAGAGAACCAGCAGGTAAAAGATTGCTCTGTCTTTATGCTTTTCAAATAAATAAAAATGAATAAATTATAATGCTTAAAAATCAGACTACATGTCATGGTCCTTCCAAAAAAAAGTTGCTGGAAAAATTAGAAGATAAATTTACTTTAAAGACATCATAAAGAGACCAAGCGTTGATAGGATGGGGGAATAACATGTTTTAATAGAAAAGAAAGTGTGATCTGAAAGAGAGAGAATAGATCTCAAGAGCACTGAACTAAATTTTCCTTGAGTCATCTGCTAACCTAAGAAAACAGGGTATGGAGTTTAAGTCCCCTGCTCAGCAGAGGGACAGAAGTCAACATCATTGCCGGTCATCTGGTGGGAGGGGACGGTGCAGAGGGACTACAAAACACCACACACATTCTCAGGAAGTGAGGAATCCTGGCCTGTTCCTAGAAACATGATGGTGGTACAGGGCAGGTCTCCTGCCAACTACAGCAAGGAACAAAACAGAAAAAGAAAAGGAAGCAGATGAACAAAGCAGTTCTGAATGTGGCTGCATCTTATGAAATGTTCCAAGGTCTTTCTATTTTACTCAATGTACTTGCTGAAGGAGAAAAGTGATAGGATTTGAATTAGGTTGCAAAATTATCCCCTGAACTGTTATTTGGGAGACAGTCTGTAGGGGGTAGTGTGGGTACAGAAGTCTAGGTAGTTGGCAGGTGCCATAGCTTATCCAGAGAGGAAATCCAGGCCACAGCGAAAGCTGTGGGAATGGTTCAAAGAAGGCTGAGATTGACATTTTTCACAAATGTGGAAGTTCGGATTTTCTGTTTATGAAATATGAGAAAAAGGTGATTCTGAGAGCAAAATAGTTGAAAATGCATACATCTCCCAATCCTGCAATGCCACTTGAAGGTTTATATCCTAGATACTCCTACCTACATGAACAAAGAAGCATGCACAAGAATATGCAATACAGCACTGTTTATTATTGTTTATTTATTTTGTTCTCCTTTGTAAAGAAACAATGTGATGTCTTACAACATGTAATTCTATTTGACAATTAAAGTGAACTTGCTCTTTGTATATTTACATGGTTAATTTCAAAATTGAATGAAAAATGAAATTCACAGATATAATACTCCTGATATAAATAATAAAACATACAATTCAGTTCAGTATATTTTGTATTAATGCCTACAGTTCAGACATAGGCACTAACTTGAATTGGAAGAATATGCACAGCACATGGAAGTGATAGTCTTTTGAAAATGGAATGTAGTAAGGAAAGGGACATAAGTTCAATGTATTTGCTAAATAGCCTCTGTTTCTTATATTTTTCAAAGTTCTCTTTAAATTTGTCAAAGACTTGATTAAAAATGATGTTGAAACGAGAATTTTAACAAATGAAATTATAAGTGGCTTGATTGATGACATGAATAGCATCTCATAAAAAGTTAGATCCCAAGCTTACAGATTTTCAAATTTTGTTCAGCAGTTCTATTAAAAATTGACTAAGAACCTACAGTGAGCAAGACAACATTCCAGATATTGAAAGAACATTCATAGAACCCATCCTAGTTTCAAGCAACACACAGTTAAGTGAGATTTCCTCTTTAAATAAAATAGAGGTATCATCCTCAGATGAAATAATAAGAGGATAGATAAAGTATAAAAGGTATATATTCATTCAGATTTGGAGAAATTCTTGAAGGGAGGGAAAAAAATGAAGAGGTTGCTGATTCCACAGAAGCTTAGAAAGTAAGTCAAGTATTTTGAGGAGTAAGTACACTACCTAAAGTAGCAAAATGCCTAGATCTGAATCTCAAACCTAGCCATGCTAGCAAAAGAAAAAAACAGAATATTCTACTGAAATTTTTCCTAAAGCAAGTTGAGTTGCAGCTCTTGTAATTTGTGTATTATTCCTAAGCCTTAAATTCATGGATATTAAATTTATCATAGTTAAATAAAATGTACAGTGTAAAACACATGTGCAGGAATATATTCTGTGTAAAATCATTTTGAAATGTTTGCTACACCATTCAAATTTAAGATACCCAACTTTATAAACATATCTGTGAATCTGAGAGTAGGGTGTAAGCTGTTTTTGAATACACACATAGGGTCAAACATAACACAAAGTTGGACTATGAAACTAGCTCTGTGCAACGTGTCATTGAATTATCTCAGCTCAAAGAAGTGGTAGGTACTACTATGAATGTCATTTTTCAGATGAGTCACATGAAGTTTATGGAGAATAAATGAATAAATCAGCTATTTGAGATTGTGTGATCTAGCCACTGGTACTTCTAGAGCTATAGGTTGTATGTTTGTCTTCCTGTGGTTGGTAGTAAAACTTGCTACTTGATTTATCATTTGTAAGCTGGGATAAATGGTTTCAAATTGTAGCTCATCAACTTCGCATGTGGGTTACTTCAAAAGTGCTAAAGTCTGTAGGCTTCATGTTTCTTATTTATAAAAGTTAGAGATGACATAAGACTATTCTGACAATTAAAGAAGTAATGCTTGGGTTTAAGATGGTCACTACTATCTGATGAACATTTATTTTCCATTACCATATATTTCTGGGAATATTCAGGCATATTTGAAGATAATGTCCTATCTCAGATTGGCAAATTAATTGAATTACAGTTAAAGGACAGAAACAAGTTAATAAACTCCCTTTAATCTAATAACATTCTGTCATGAATAATTTTGCTACCATTTGGGATGAAATGCATTCTTAAGACACTCAGCATATTAAAATCATGTTACAAATCTGAGCACCGATAGTATTCCAGCATTAGGCATAAATTAAATTTTGATTGTCAAAAGTGTCATTTGTTGACATGGACAAAAGAGATGTGATCATAATAGCATTTTTGTTCAGGTGTAAATCATTCATGACATTCCATTTGAAACTCCACAGTATTAGAGAGTGACAACTGATGGTTTAATTGTTATGTAATTAGGTCTCATTTTTTCTTTTTCTCTTGTAGATCATCCTACTTTCCTAACTTCATTTTAAAATATCACATTTACTAGAAAGATATACTTGGTCAAACTTTAGGAGAGTTGTTATCCAGCGGTCCATATTTAATTTGCGGTGAAGCACAAAAGTATATAATTTTAAAATATGCTATTCTAGCATTTGATAGGTTTAAAAGTAAATCATGTGTTACTGATGATTATCATCCCTGATTATAGAAATGATTTTGTAAAATGTGCTTACTTTCTTTTGGTGTTATTTCTTATGTGCATGTGTTAAAACAGTGATCTCCTAATGTCCTTTCACAAATACCCAAACAATAGCCAGTTTTTACTTCACATGTATACACTCTCCTACACTCTCTTTTTGTTTTTCTTTTCTCTAATGTCTTTGCCTACCGATGAGGCACACATTGAATTAGGACTCCATTTAATTATCTAAATCAATTTATCTCTCACTATCCCTTAAATGTATTCTCCATGAAACTATTTGGCATATATGTATCTGTATTTCATGATGCTTAGTGAAATAAGCCAATCTCAAAAAGACAAATATCATGTTTTCCCTGATCTGTGGTAACTAATAGAGTACAAACAAAATTGATGTATTTGAGTGAAAATGATATGAGATTTGATTATTGTTTACAGCCCTTGCTCTAATGTTGAGCAAAAGTGTTTTTTCCTTCTTATTAATTGTTAAATTATTGACTTAGTGGAGGGTTAATCTTATGAATATAAAATGAACTGAAAGTATGTCATTGTAAAAATTAAAAGAAAAAATAAGAAAGGAAGGAGGAAGGGGAAGTAAGTACTATGCTCCTAAATCTGTATATGTGAAATATATAGAATTTGTTCACCTTATATTTAAAAAAAAGCCTGCAGTCCAGCAGTGCATTGGTCTGCAGCACCCCTTAAAAGGCAACAAATTAAAAAAAATGTAATTGCATTTTCATTCAAATATGAAAATAATCAGAGTATTCTAAAGTCATCAGTATCTCTTTTAACATTGTCATAGTTGAAGTAAAGGCTTAACTTCAAAGAAAAAGGGGTTCTATCATTTTAATTCACTTTACATTAAAACCTCACATTAGGAGTGGGCATTTAGCCTAGTGTTCAAAACATCTGCATACCATATCAGAGTGCCTGAGTACAATTCCCAGTTCCAGCTCCTGCCTCCAGGTTCCTGCCAGTGCAGTCTCTGGAGCCAGCAGTAAGGTTGAAGTAACTGAGTCTCTGCCACCTACGACAGAGCCCTGGATTGTGATCCTGGCTCCCTGATTTGTTCTCAGTCCAACTCCACATGATGGATTATAGAAATGATTTTGTAAAATGTGCTTACTTTCTTTTGGTGTTATTTCTTATGTGCATGTGTTAAAACAGTGATCTCCTAATGTCCTTTCACAAATACCCAAACAATAGCCAGTTTTTACTTCACATGTATACACTCTCCTACACTCTCTTTTTGTTTTATTTGCAGACACTAGTCTTGTTTATGTGATCCCTTTGGCTCTTAGTCCTATCATTATGATCAATTGTGAACAGAAATTGATCACTTTGACTAGTGAGATGGCGTTGGTACATGACACCTTGATGGGATTGAATTGGAATCCCCTGGTATGTTTCTAACTCTACCGTTTGGGGCAAGTCAGCTTGAGCATGTCCCAAATTGCACATCTCTTCCCTCTCTTACTCCCACTCTTATATTTACCAGCAATCACTTTTCAGTTAAATTTCAACACTTAAGAATAACTGTGTATTGATTACAGTATTCAACCAAAAGTATTAAGTAGAACAAACATAAAAAATACTAAGAGGGATAACGTATTAAGTTGTTCATCAACAGTCAGGGCAAGGGCTGATCAAGTCACCGTTTCTCATAGTGTTCATTTCACTTTAACAGGTTTCCTTTTTGGTGTCACTGATCAGGGAGAACATATGATATTTGTCCCTTTGGGACTGGCTTATTTCACTCAGGATAATGTTTTAGGCCAGCTTCTAATATGTAATTCTTATCTGTCTTTTGAATATGGGGTCATTCATGTGGTAATTTGATTTACACCTTGCCACCTGCATTAGATTAGAGCCAGGAAGGTGATGAATTGTAATGCTTTCTATTTACATTGTGTCATATACACAGTAAGGTAAGTACTGTAATTAAGTGATAAATTGGTGGAGATCCAAGATGGCTGAATAGGCTATAGCCACACTAACTTCAGCTGCTCTTGATTATGAAAAGAAAAAAGGGAAGACCACATTTCTAGGGACCTGAATGGTGTAAATGTTTTGCAAAAAATTGAAAAAAAAATGAAGATTTTTTTGGAACAACATGAGAGAGGATAGGGACACTGCTGCACCCAACTACTGACCGTGAGCCACCATGATACCAGGACAAGGTAGGAAGAAATTGCTGTGTGGCCCACTGCTCTAGCTGAAAGGGAATTTCACAGTTACCCACTGACTTTTGCTTTAGCCTGGGGAGCTGACTGGTGTCTTAACAACTGCCAGGCTTGGAACAGGAGAGCCAACCTGCTTCTTCCTGTCTCCCACTCCTACAGAGCACCGTACTCGGTGTCAGGCAGTGCTCCTCTGTTCTGCTTCTACCAATATCAGAATCAGCATCAAGAGAAGATGCCATCTTCTTGAAGAGAAATGAGAGCAGACTGCAGTAGCCACTGTCCCTTGTGTTATTGCCTGAGGCAGAGAATTACAGACCACAGGGACTTAGAGTATTGTCTGGAGCCCTCTCAGGGGCAGGTGCCCACCTAAACCCATGAAGAAAAAACACATGGTGATACAAATGGGAAAGTAGGAAGTCAAATTATCCCTGTTTGCAGATGACATGATCCTATATAGAGACAAATCTAAAGACTCCACTAACGGACTATTGGTACTCATAAAACAGTTTGGTAAAGTTGTAGAATATAAAATAAACATACAAAAATCAGTAGCCTTTGTATATAGAGACAGTGCCATGGCTGAGATAGAAATTGTAAGATCAATCCCATGCAAAATATCATAAAAGAAAATTTAAATACCTTGGAGTAAATTTGCCCAAGGAGGTGAAAAATATTTACAATGAAAACTATAAAACATTAAAGAAAGAAATGAAAGAAGAAATAAGAAAATGCAAAAATCTTCCATGTTCATGAATTGGAAAAATCAGCATCATCAAAATGTCCACACTAGTAAAAGCAAATTATAGATTCAATGTGATCCCAAACAAAACACCAATGGCATTCTTCTCAGATCCAGAGGTAACAATGCTGAAAAATGGAAACACAAGAGACTAATAGCTAAAGCAATCTTATACAACAAAAGCAAAGCTGGATACATCACAATACCAGATTTCAAGACATAATACAGGACAGTTATAATAAAAATAGCCTACATAAAAACAGACATATAGACCAATTGGACAGAATAGAAACTACAGAAATTAATCTATAACCAACTTATGTTTGACAAAGGAGCTAAAATCAATCCCTGGAGCAAGGACAGTCTCTTCAACAAATGGTGCTGGGCAAAGTGCATCTCCACATGCAAAAGTATGAAGTTAGATGCCTAAATAAATACATTACACAAAAATCAACTCAAAATGGTTGAAGGACCTAAATCCACATCCTGATACAATCAAACTACCAGAGAACATTGGGGAAACTCTGTAAGACATTGACATATGCAAAGATTTCTTGGAAAAGACCTCAGAAGCAAAGGCACTGAAAGCAAAAATAGACAAATAAGATTGCAGCAAGCTAAGAAACTTCTGCAGTGCAGAGGAAATGCCCAGTAAAGTGAAGAAGCAGCAGGCAAAATGGGAGAAAATATATGCAAATTATGCAACATTTAAAGGATTAATATCCAGAACCTATAAAGAGCTCAACGAACTCAGCAACAATGAAGCAAAGAATTGGTTAAGAAATGGGCAAAGGACTTGAACAGGCATTTTTAAAAGGATGAAATTCAAATGGGCAACAGATGCATGAAAAAAAATGCTCAGGATCACTAGCCTTCAGGGAAATGCAAATCAAAACCATAATGAGGTTTCACCTCACCCTAATTCCAGTGGCTCTCATACAGAAATCAACAAACAACAAATCTTGGTGAGACTGGGGGAAAAGATTCCATGATACATTGTTGGTGGGAATGTAAACAATACTGTCATTGAGGAAGACAGTATGGAGATTTTCTGAAATATTAAAATAGATCTACTATACAACCCAGCCATCCCACTCCTGGGAATTTATACAGACAATTTCAAATCAGCATATCAAAGAGTTACTTCTAGCCCCATTATTATTGCAGCTCAACTTACAATAGCTAAGATTTGGAATCAACCCAGATGCCCACCCACCAATCAATGAGTATATAAAGAAAATGTCATACACACACACACACACACACACTACAGTATAATACTCAGCCATTAAAAAAGAATGAAATCCTCTGTTTTGCAACAAAATGGATGCAACTTGAAACCTTTATACTTAGTAAAATAAGCCAGTTCCAAAAACACAAATATGTTATCCCTGATCTTTGGTCACTAATACACTACAAAAATGCAATGTGTATGAGCGAAATTGAATTTTTGAGATTCAATGACTGGTTTACAGCCCTTGTCTCTACTGTTGAACAGCAGAGGTGTTTTTTCCTTCTTCTTACTATTTGTTGAATTCTTAGTTGAGGGTTAAGTTTATGACTATAAAATAAACTGGAAGCATGTCATTCTATAAAGAAAAGGAAAGAATAAGAAAAGAAGGAGGAAGGAGAGTGAGAGAATGGGTGGGAAGGAGGTTAGGGTGGGATGTATTACTGTGCTCCTAGATCTGTATTTATGAAATACATGAAATTTGTTCACATTATATTTAAAACAATTATTTAAACAAGGAAAAAGTTATATTTATTAGAAATGCAAAAGTAGTGGTGTTAGAGTGATTTACTTTATGATAAAAAATATTTTTAAAGTTAAGTTTGGGATTGGGATCCTTATCCAAAATTTTGGGGACTGGAAGTGTTTCAGATTTAGGATGTTCAGATTTTACAGTATTTGTCTATACATAATTAGAATCTTGTGTGTGAAACTGAAATCATTTATGCTTTTCATACATCTTACAGACATAGCCTGTAGTTCACTTGAGATAATATTTTACAATAATTTTATGTGTTTGACTATAATATATCAGAAATGGTTAGATACGGAATTTTCCATTTGTCCTGTCATGTCAAATTTTGGGTTATTGAATTAGAGATACTGAACCTGTACAGCCTATCTTCATTTCAACATGATACAAATTCCATGAAAGTTCCAAAGTTATTTTGTTATCAAATTCAATATTATTCAACACTTTTCAATTGTCTGGAGCAGTGATTTGTAAGCATATTTGTTATTCTTTTGTTATCTTAGATAGAATTTTATTTCTCGCATACTACCTGTTTGTGATTGGATATATTATTAGGTTTTCCACTCAATTATCAGAAATGATGTTCATTTTTATGTAAAGCTATCAACAGGAAATTCTCTTCCAGTATTCTCTACACTTTCTTTCATTTGGATCATTGTCTTTAGAAGTCCAGAGCTTGTGCACTCTATCCCAACTTCAGTTTATCACCAAAAACATTCACTCAACCTAACATACCTCCTTCCTGGTTATCCAGATCCTACTTTTCCTTAAACTGTCAACTTGTGTCCTATTTTCTTCCTTCCTCTTCCATACTCTGTTTATCTCTGCTACTCCCAGTGTCTTCTGTACTTCATTGCTGTTCCACACAATTTAGCACTTGCTTTTATTATGTCTTCTACTGTTAGTGAATATTAGACATATTATATCATGTTTTTCCCAACTAAAGGACCCACTTTTGCAGAGTCTGGAATTGTGTAAAAACAGTTCTATATCCTAAGGCATTTGTAAGTGTTACAGGAATTTGGAGTGAGCTCTGTGTTTCACAGTGATGGAGAAGAACAACATGGACAATAAAGGAGCGGGATGAGCAAAGCCTCTGAGAAGGAGTCTCCTGCTTGCCACAAGGGAGCCATTTATCAATGTCTGGGCATTGCTAGTTTACATAGAAAGTGCATATCAATTGATCAGTTCTATATAGTTTCCATTTGTCAGGCATCTGGTTTGTCTTTTCTTTGTCTCTTGCATAGCATTCATGATTCCTGTTTCACTAATAAATGTCACCATGTTGACCATGTGAGAGATGAGACAATTTAGAAATATTGTTGACCTGGCCAATTAAGGTAGATTATGCCTACCTGATCAGCATCTGCTGCTTTGTAGTGTGTTCTAGTATGATGCCAGAGCCTGGTTTCTGTGGGCATGGTACCCATTTTGTTCCCTGTCAGTCTTCTCATTTTCTTGGGGCAGTGTCTTTCATCCATTCAGCTGATGACAGATTTTAAACACCTGGCTTCTCATTCCCAAAGAAGTCTTCCCTGACCACTTACCAACTTTTCTGACTCCTCAAGTAAGCAGATAACTGCCAATGTCCACATTGATGTTGGTGCCAATTGCTACTGATGTCTTATATCTTGGTTCCATATGAATTTATCAAAACTCCGTCTTCCTTTATTACCTGCTACATGTCCCTATGAGTGGTATGGCCATTTCATCTCTGAGTTGTCATATTTTGCTTGTCTTTTATTTCCCCTCCAGAAGGATATCTTAGCGAGGTCATGGATCTTGTCTTTTTTCAGTACTCTGATTTTATCTTGCACAGGGTCTAATGAAGGGAAGGAGCTCACTATGTATTTTCCACATGACTATCAATAATCTTGGCCTCCTTTCATTAGAGCAGGCATCAAATAAGGAGATTAGAAGAATTATTATTTTCCTGAGACAATGTATTTGCTTAGATCTTGAAAATATGTGTAAAAACTAAAATGACTAAATATTACTGTACAGAGTATAGTATGTAAAGACTTGAGCTTTGCAGTCAAACATACCTGAATTCCAGTTCTGTGTGAACTTGAGGGAGTTGCAAGCCTTCATAAGCCTCAATATCTCCCTGGAAAGTAAGAATATGGTTACATCACAGTGTTGTAATAATTAAGTAGAATGCAAGTAAAAGTGGAAAATTGGCTGACACAGAATGAGCATTTAGCACATTTGGATCAATTTTTCTTATTAAATTAATTTAAGGGGAAGAAAGGCTAATTGTTATTTCCTGAGCTTCACAGATATGAAAACAGCTGTGTATTTCAGGTGAATACATGTTTCAAAATATGGCATACAATGCATAAACACAGACAAGTAAGATACATTCTACTACCCATCTACAGAAACCTGGCCATGTTGAATTTATATGTAGAGATTGAGAAGTTTTATTTTTAAAAGGCCTAACTAAATACTTTTGGCTTTGTGAGCCCTGTGATTTCCAAAACAACTGCTTAACTCTATCCTCATATTATGCAAGTAACTACAAACAAAAAACAAATGAGTTTAGCTATATCCCATTAAGACTTTATTTATAGGAACAGGTAATGGGCCAAATTCACCATCTTATACTACAAGAATAAACTGATGCCTCACTATGTAATTCTACAGGTAATAACTTCACTGTTGTGCAATATATTTATGTAATGATGCTCAAACTTTAATGGGATAAGAATGTTTAACAAGATAATGGTGAGTACATATAAATGTATATTTCAACCTTTATGTGCATTTGAGTTCATGTAATTTCTATCCTCAGTTCTGAATTAGTCATTTATGAATGAAAAGGTTTATGTTCTTTAGTGGTGGTAAGTTAATAAAATTTATAATTGCCTCTTTCCCTGTCATAGTACTTTGTAAATAGTAGACATTCATCTCCTATAAAAATAAAAATAAAAACTGATGAAAAGCCTCATATCTAATTAAACACAATGTTGTCCATGTAACTCCAGAATCAAGAGACACTGTCAATTAGTGTATAGAACATATTTTGTTTTGTTTTGTTTTGAAGCTAAACAGGCCTACCACCCTGTTCTAGATGTTCATCTTGCTACTTTTGTGTCCCTTGTTAAGTTTTGTAACAAGAGAGAAATGACACTTATTGAAAAGTAATGGTTGTCAACCAGAGGGTAATTTTACTTCCAGTAGATATTTGGGGAAATTTTTAATTGTCACAAATTAGTGGGAGGGTGCTACTGGCTTATTTTTTAAAGATTTATTTATTTGAGAGGTAGAGTTACAGAGAGAGGGAGAGACAGAGAGAAAGGTCTTCCATCCACTGGTTCACCCCTTAAATGGGCTGCAACTGCCACAGCTGGGCCTATCCGAAGCCAGGAGATAGGAGCTGCTTCTGGGTCTCTTACACAGGTACAGGGGCCCAAGCAGTTGGGCCATCTTTCACTGCTTTCCCAGGCCATAACAGAGAGCTGGATCGGAAGAGGAGCAGCCAGGACAGGAACTGGCACTCATATGGGATGCTGGTGCCACAGGTGGAGGCTTAGCCTATGAGCCACAGTGCCAGCCCCTGCTACTGGCTTTTAATGGGTAGAAAACAGAAATACTTTCTGACATCCTACAATGCATGGGACAGTCTCTTCCTCCAAAGAACTGTTTAGTTCAATATTTCAATAGTGCTGAGTTTAAGAAAGTGTTCTAAAGGTATAGGTTCAACCTCATGCTTGTCTCAGTAATTCTAAACTGCTAATAGTAAGACCAATTTCTATTGATGATAGAAAACACAACTATGCAAATTTTGAATGGATACAAATATGTATAAAATAAATGAACTACCCATTCTTTTGACTAAAAGCATGTTGACACACTTATGTAGATTAATACAATTAATATCTAGCCATGTATATATTGACATTAAGATTTCAAATGCTCTTTGTGAGCCTTGAAAGGTTTTGAATGATGCTTGCCCATTCTGCTATTACCATGGTAAACATTTTATCTTGATGTTAAATTTGACTTATTTTAAATTCATATGGGAAATTTGGATGTTCTATTTCCTGTCTTAAAGACCAATGACACATTAATCAATGCTGCTAAAAACAAGCCTCAGTTCTTATGTAGTAGCAGAATAAACAAGCTGGGAGAATTAACAGTGACGGAATATTCACATAAGCGTAAAGGGCATACTTCCAGCTAGCTCTTCTATGTTTGCGGCCTGAAAGTTTCTATCAGCTTGCGTCTGTCCATGGGGAATTGAAGCACTTTGAAATGGACAATGAAACTTCAGTGTTCCAACTATGTTTCATATCATTAGTCTTAAGTAACAGAATACTAAGCTGATGACATATCCTGAGGTTGTATTAATCATGACTTGTGATCTCTGCCACTGTCATCAGAACCTTCTCCCATGGCAATAGCTTTGTAGCTTTTTCTGTCATCACCCTCTGGGCGTAGCTAAAGGAGAAAGCAGTCAAAAGCAGACAGAAATGTTCTACTTACCAAAACAACAATGAGAAAGTATACATACAAACCTCGGAGCTCAAGTTGCCACTCAAATGACAGTGATCTGCCAGCTAAAGGGGCTTAGATTGTACCTGTTGTCCATTGCATCAGGGTATGCAAACTCATATATGTAGGTGTCAGTGGTATCAAATGGTAGATCAAGTAGGAATGATAGTGAAGTCTAAGGGAAATTGGATTCTTCATGGTCTATCTTCTCAAAGGGTTAATGGATATTCATTTCCAATTATTTCAGACCATGTGGGTTCATGTGGTCAGGTCTTCCATTTATTTCCTAACAAAGACAATACTCTTAGTATGTAAAGTGGACATAATTCTGTCAACCAAAGAATCTGAAATAAACAAACAATTCCAAAGTAATGTAAAATGGTACAACCACTTTGGAAAAGTGACAGTTTCTAATGAAACTAAAGATTGTGCTAAGTATTACAATTTTAAGTGTTGACCCTAGAGAAATGGAACAAGTTTCTGTGAAAAAGTTTTAGTTAAGAAATATAGCAGCTCTTTTCTTATTAGTCTCCAGCTGGGAACAACCCCTCCACTTGTCTTCAGCTCATTGTTCAGAAAACCTGTGTGCTCATTCTTTAATTAATCTCTTAAAATATGTTTTTGTTTACCTACAATCCATTCAGAATTGATTTTGAGTCAACTTTAAGATTTTCAATTTTGTATGCAGTGCAAGGACAGTTAAGCTGGTCTGACATTATGTTATTTTATTTTCAGAGAGATAGTTAAAACAGATGCTAGGTATTTTTTTATCCTTCCATTGATTAATACTTTTATTATGATTCATATAAATATAGTTATCTAAATGATTCAAATACTTTTGTGTCTGCCTCTGATTATCTATCTCTCTTATTCTATTTCTGATAAAAGCATTCCTTGTTGTATGTTTATTCAAATGGAATAATATCATTCATCTTAATCTTGTTGAATTTGAATAAACTACATCTATAAATGGCAAACTTTATTGAAGTAACCTCTGTTATAGAAAAGCAAAATTATCAGGAGCACCAGCCTTGTCATTTTGATGATGAACATATACATTACGCTAAGTGATTTCCATTAACTGTCCAGTATAATCCACAGAATGGGTAGATAACCTTTCCCCAATTATAGTTTCATAGTTCAAAGAGTTGATGATTCAAATGGCTGAGTTGCTTGCCTAAAGCCACACAGCTATTAAGTGATAAAATACATCATAGAGGAATCGGATCTTCATAGCAGGGCTTAGAATTCTCTCTATATACATATTACTTCCTTACCTGTGGTAATAGGGTTTTGCTGTATGTGTGATTGGACTGTGTTTCCCAGGCTTGTTTGTAAGCTTTGAATTTTTGACCACATAACTAAGTTTTCTCCAAGGAAACATAAAGAGAAATGGTATGGCCTACAGGCTAAGTTGTTTTTTTAATGTTCTTTTTCCTTCTAATGTCTGGATTCAAATAACAAAAAGACTCCTAGTGGACCAGGAACATCTGCCTTGTATTATAAATGATCAAAAATACTATTCTATTATGTTAAACAATTGGTGTTTGGAAAAGAAGTAGCAGTTTATGGTAGCTTATAGTAGCAGCTTATCCTTTTCCTTAATGTGCTCTTTCAAACATTAAACAAAGTATATCTACCACTTTTCATGATTTTATAACTTTAAGGATTGGGGAAAAGTGTATCCTAGGGAACTCACTGGGATAAAAAAATAAAGAGAAAAATTAAATAATGCAATAATGCTATAGAAAAAGTAGTCAGTGAATGTATAAACAAAGGAGTGGTCAGTTCTGCCTGAGAAGGTTTTAAATCTTTTTTATTTATTAGGTTTTATTTGAAAGTCACAGAGACAGGTGGACAGAGATCTCCCATTTGCTGATTTACTTCCCAAATGCCCTTAACAGCTAGGGCTGAGCCAGGTCAAAGACAGGAGCTAGAGCTTCTTTCTAGATCTTCCATGTGGGTAGCAAGAACCCAACTTCTTGAGCCATCACGTGCTGCCTCTCAGGGTGTATAGTAGAAGGAAACTGGAATTGGTAGTAGAGCCAAGAATCAAACCCAGACATGACATTATGGAATGTGGGCATACCAAGCAGCATCAACCAGTATTACCAAATGGCTGCCCCTGGCCTGAGAGTTCTTAAAAGTTTCCTAGTGCAGGTGAATTGAAGTGGAAGCTGACTGAAGTGTAGGGAGTCAAGAATAGACAATGGGAATGTTAAGTTGGGTAAAGAACCAGGGACAAATAGGAAGAGAGTGAACCATTCAAGGGGACTAGGAGAGCAAGTTAAGGTGTGACAGATTTTGAATGACTTCAGAACCATGTGAGGTAGTCAAAATAATGAAGCCACAAATTTTTCATGTTCTAGTCCTAGAATCTGTTGATTGCTAGGTATATGTAAAAAGAGAATTAAAGTTGCAGATAGAAGTTGGGTTATTCAGGTGATCTCAAGAAAGGGAGAGTGTATTGGATAACCCAGGTGAGCCCATAGAATTATAAGCATCCTTAAAACTAATAGAGGAAGATGTAGCTATGTAAAACCAGAGGAATGGCAGCGTGAGAAGATTTGTCTGATGATATTGACTTGAAGGCAGGGGAAGGAGCCATGATTAATAGAAAGCAAGCATAATTTAGAAAAGGCAAAAAAAAATTCTTACCGGATTTTCTGGAAAGTGATACAAGTGAACTGAAATCTTGATTTTAGCCTAGTGAGATCCAACTCAAATTTCGAAGATTTATGTAGTTTATCTGAAAGGGTTACAGAGAGTGAGAGTGAGAGAGAAAGAGATTTGCCATCTTGTGGTTCACTATTCAGATGGCTGCAATGGCCTGTCCTGGACCAGGCCAAATCCAAGAGCCAGGAACTTCATCTGCGTCTCACACATGGGTGGCAGGTGCCCAAACATTTGGGCCATCTTCTGTTAATTTTCCCAGGCCGTTATTAGGGATCTGGATTGGAAATAGAACAGCTGAAAAACTGCTGGGGCTTTACCAGTTAAGCCACAATGTATTTGATGTTCAACAAATTATAATGTATTTGATGTTCAACAAATAATGTTTCTTATCTTTTTTTTTTTTTTTTTTTTTGACAGGCTGAGTGAACAGCAAGAGAGAGAGAGACAGAGAGAAAGGTCTTCCTTTGCCGTTGGTTCACTCCCCAATGGGTGCTGCAGCCGGTGCACTGCGGTGATCCAAAGCCAGGAGCCAGGTGCTTCTCCTGGTATCCGGCACCCCGACCGGGCTAGAACTTGGGGTGCCAGCGCCGCAGGCGGAGGATTAGCCTATTAAGCCACGGGGCCAGCCAGTGTTTCTTATCTTAAACCACTCTATTTGAGGTTATTTTTTCTTGGCAACTACAAGAAGCTAATATTTTATGTTAAACCTGACCTTGGAAGCAAATGAGGTTTGATATTGGAACCATTTTAGAGGGTCCTAAGAGGAGCAGTATGCAAAATGAGTTTATTTAGCAAGATCAGAAAAAAAGATAGTTGATAGATCAGGTCTCAAATAAGAGATTGGTAGGCACCTAATGGAGCAGCAATAATGAAGCATCGATGAAGAACATGTTAGGGCCGGCACCGCGGCTCACTAGGCTAATCCTCCACCTGCGTCACAGGCACCCCGGGTTCTAGTCCCGGCTGGGGCGCCGGATTCTGTCCCGATTACTCCTCTTCCAGTCCAGCTCTCTGCTGTGGCCCGGGAAGGCAGTCTAGGATGGCCCAAGTGCTTGGGCCCTGCACCCGCATGGGAGACCAGGAGGAAACACCTGGCTCCTGGCTTCAGATTAGCATGGTGTGCCAGCCACAGCGCGCCTGCCGCGGCGGCCATTAGGGGGTGAACCAACGGAAAAGGAAGACTTTTCTCTGTCTCTCTCTCTCTCACTGTCCACTCTGTCCAAAAAAAAAAAAAAAAAAAAAGTTAGAACTGAAGAGATCTTGGTTTTGTGCTCTGAGATATCCAGAAAGTCACAGGGATATGGGATAAGATAATGCATTGTGAGGGCATTGCAGTATTCTTATATAGATAAAGGGGAATAATTCCAGTTTGGGGATACTTTTCAAGATATTGCTACAAATAATGACAACAAAACTAAGGTTTTAGCTACTATTCATGCTTCTGAAGTATTTGTGAATCCTCTTGATATTTTCCCCGTCCACATGTCATTTTATGCACTAGGTGGATGCAGCCTTACTCAAGAAATGCAGGCCTATGTAAAAGTGACATCTTGTGTTGCTTTGATGCATTGCATTGCTTGCTCCTGTGATGGTTTCTCTGTTCTGGCAGCTCTTTTGCTTTTAACTCCTTTCCTAAACAGAACTGCGATATGAAACAAAAGTCTTTGCAAATTAGGGGCTGTGAATCATGATATAAAATAACATTTGATTATTCTCAATCTTATAAATTTTGTGATAATAAACAAATCATTGCAATAAGTTTTTATATGCTCTTGTAATAGATTATGAACTTGAGAGAGAAGAGGTTGATTTTTAAAGCTATATTTAGTAGTTACTATGACAATACCTTAGATTAGAAAAATCTACTGATCCAAAGTGTCTGAAAACTAGCATGTTTGTTGAAAGCTATTTTCAGAGAATGTTCTGTTTCAATGCTGATGAGTCCCTTGTGATTCAAGGGGTGAGGGAGTGTATTATCATATCTCTTGCTAAATTCACTTCACTTTTTTGGCAATTATATCACAGATTTGCAATTCATAGTAGTTAGACCACAAATAGGATACACACACTTTTGAGTAAATCAAACAAAACCTGAAAAATATAGATATGATCAGTTAAATTAATAAGAGATATGTCAATAGTTTCTTCTTCCACTGGCTAAGACTGAAATCCTAAAGAAGGAAATCCCTCCCAATAGGTTGCTAAGATGAAATCTAGAACAATGGGATACAGAAAAGAATAGATGGTTGGAAATAGAAAACTAAATGAAAGAAACAACAAGCGACAAGGAGAGAGAGGAAAGCCTAGAGCTTAATGCTAAAAAAAAGAATGAGAGGTTTAAAGTCTTGAGTATTAAAACCAGAGGGCTGCTGGGAAGAAATACACAGGAAAAGAAAGAAAAGGTGGCTCAATCAAAAACAGATAATACAGAATCTTAAATGAAGAGGGAAAGGAAACCAGAGAAGGCAAAAGCCTACTGTAGGAGAAACTGATAACAGATTCCACTCTCAGGTAGGAGTGAGGATACATGGGAAGGATGGAGTTTCTTTCTTATCATTAAACTAGTAAATACAACATGCACAAACTAACCTTTTACTTCAGGTATGCAGCTCCACCAAAATGAAATGAAGTACCATCTACTTGATGTGTTACAGACAAAGTGGTTTATAGAATCAGACACTTAGCTTTAATCTTAACCTGGACTTTGTTTTTCACCTTTGGATTTTCCCTGGTATTGATCTGGTTTTCTCATCTGTAAAGTGGGGGCAGCTGTACCATCTTCTTAAAGCTATCATGAGGGGAAAGTGTGATAAGGAAAACTTTGTGTGCTTGGTTGATTCTAGAATAGATACTGAAACTTCGATTAGCACTTCTTAGATGATTAGCAAGTATTGGCTTCAATCTTTCTTGTTAAGTAAATCATAATGGCACAAGGGACCAATAAGAGAAATAGATTTCTAAAATTGCTTTTGTGTCACTTATGGGGAGACAACAGTTACCCCTCCCAGCCAACCCCTTTGATTTGCTCCAGGGCAACAGAGGAGGGAGTTTGAAGCAGGCCATTTGGAAAAGGTACAGTCTTTTCATCTGTTCTTTCCCACTTCAGTTTTCAGAAATTGTGGAAGGAAAAATAATTTGTTTTGTTTCAAACTTAACCCCATAAGATCAGGTATAATTCATGCAGAATAAAGGATGATTTATGAGCCACCTACAGTATTGCCTCCATATTGTGAGGCACGTTCCAACTGCAAAGTTCTAGAGCTATAGCCAGACTTTCTAAAATCCATCTGTAGAATTGGGGCTCAATAGTCTCAGGTTTCTTAGCAGTTGTTGGATGAGTATGGGAAACCCTACAATTTGAGACACTCAGAGCTAAGAGATATTGTAGCAGCTTTGTGTTTATATGGGAATCACCGTTTCCTATAATTTGATTGATACACCAAGTGTTTTCCAATTGATGAAAGCCACCTTTGATTTCTTTGAATCTTCTCAGAAGTATTCTGATACAATGCCTTTCCTGAGGTGAGTGCTGTGGCACAACAGGTTTAGCTGCTGCTTAGGACACCCGTGTCTCATGTAGGACTGCCAATTTGAGTTCTAGGTATTCTACTTCCTATCCAGCTTCTTGCTAATGCAAATAGGAAGGCACTGGATGATGGCCCAAGTACTTGGGTCCGTGCCAACCATGTGGGAGACCCAGAAGGAGTTCTGGGCTCCTGGCTTTGACTTGGCCTAGTCTCAGCTGTTGAGGCACTTTGGCACTTTGGGAGTGAACTAATAGATGGAAGCTTGCTCTCTCTCTCTCTCTCTCGCTCTGTCTCCTGTCTCCATCTCTTCCTCTGTCATTTTGCCTTTTTTTTTTTTTTTTTGATAGGCAGAGTGGACAGTGAGAGAGAGAAACAGAGAGAAAGGTCTTCCTTTACCGTTGGTTCACCCTCCAATGGCAGCCGCGACCGGCGCGCTGCGGCCGGCGCACTGCGCTCATCCGATGGCAGGAGCCAGGTGCTTCTCCTGGTCTCCCATGGGGTGCAGGGTCCAAGCATTGGGCCATCCTCCACTGCACTCCCTGGGCACAACAGAGAGCTGGCCTGGAAGAGGGGCAACCAGGACAGACTCTGGCGCCCCAACCGGGACTAGAACCTGGTGTGCCGGCACCGCAAGGCGGAGGATTAGCCTAGTGAGCTGCGGCGCTGGCTTGTCATTTTGCCTTTCAAGAAACATATGAAGGAAAGGGCAAGAGATGTATGATTGAGGCAAACTGTGCTATATTGTAGAACAGCAGCTAATGGTGGGAGAATTAGGGTGTGAAAGTTGTGAAACATTCATGCAGCAGACATTCAGAAAAATAAAGAGAACACAGTTTGCCTAACTAGCTTCAATTTTGTGAGCTGTGTTAGGATCAATGCAAGTAAGTTGATTAAATGGAAGGAACTGAACATCTACCATGCTTGGAAAACTTTTACTCATCTCTTAAGCCTCATACTTAATAGTGTCTAACCATTGTAATATCTTACCTCACCACACTTAGACTAGACAGAGATGATAATTTCATTCTTTATCCCATTACTAGGTCTTTGAAATGCCTTTAATGTAGCAACTTCTGTATTATTCTAAAACTCTGTATTTAAATGTTTATTTTATTCCCTGGAAAATGATGACTTCTTGGAAGGCTGATGCTAGGTCTTCATTGTCTTTGTATCCCCTACTTAATTCAGGGTTTGGCACATAAAAATACTTGTTCATTATATATTTGTTTAATAACTGAAGTTACTTGAAGAAGTTGAGTAAGCTTTCCCTGTCTTTAAGGAGGACTATTTTAGAAAAAAGTTAGAGGTAAGCATACAGATTACTAACTTGTAAGGTAGAGTAAGGTTAGAGTCGTCAGAGGTTCATCTAATTAAAGGGATTTAAAAACGCTTCACAGCAAAGATGATGCTCAAGATAAGACTTAAGGAATTAATAGGTTTTCAACAAATGGAGTGTGTTTGGAGGAGAGTAACTATTTCTGATAAATGAAACAGCATGAACAAAGGTAGAGGAAAAAATCTTAGAGAATATGTAGTGAACAAAGCTAAGTCCACTCGGAATAGAAGCGATTGTGGGAATTTCAATTAGATTTTATCTCATAAGCCATAGATGACAACTGGTAGAAGCTGTGTCTACTGAAAATAATTCCAGGGCCCAGTCTGCATTCAACGTGCAAGGATGTCATAATCAATAAAAAGTAACCACGATGGAAAAAGGAGAATATCATCTCTGATTTAAGAGACTTACAGCCTACCATTTCTGTATAAATATTAGAGTAGTAATATTTTATCCCCACCATTTGTTTTGGAGGATACTGAGCATCAAAAATATGCCAAACTCCAAACCAGATGCTGAACATATACAGTGTTAACCAATAGAGGCAATGATGATATTTAAAAAGATCAGTCAAATGGGCAGTAGAATCACTAAACAAATATTTTCACAAATAATTGTTTTATGATTACAATTGTGATTATCACCATGAAGGTCAATTATAGCAAGCTATAGTGGTTTAAGCATCTGTGAAGACTTCTTTGGACATGTTGTATTTAGGCTGAGAAAAGTTAGTACTCACTGACATCTGTCGGATGTTTCATTTTTCAAGAGATCTGTATCCTCTGTTTCAAAATTTTAGACAAAGACCAAGATCTTCACACTTCTCCTTAGTAGCCTAACATTCTCAAAATTTGGCCATCTTTGATAAGCATGAGAAAGTACAACACATTTCCTTAAATTAGTAGTTCTCATAGTGTAGGCCCTGGACCAAAACATCTTCAGACTCTAGAAAATGTTAGAAATGTAATTTCTAATAGCCCACACATACCTACTGACTCAGGACTTCTGAGGGTGGAGACTAACAAACTGTATTTCAATAAGATCTCCTTGTGGTTCTAATGCAAGGCACAGTTTGAGAACTGCTGTCTTGAACTAAAATACACATTTTGACAAGAAACGGGTGTTTAGTAAAGGAAGAAGTCCTCTTAAAAAAATTCTTTTCCCATTAACAAAAATTACTTACAGATATAGACTGACTTCATTATTTAACACTTCAGAAGTTATAGAATTTTGATTCAACGTATTCATATATTCTAAGAAGGACCTAAGTATAACTTGGTAAGGAAGTTGTTATCTAATGTTCTGTTTGGTTCTTGTAGGATGTTAAGAAATCTTACTGTCCTTTACAAAACAATTGACCATGACTGCTATCTTTAAGACTGTACAAGCATGTTGTCCCAACTCCACATGCAGTCCTTTTGTGTATGCTCATTTTATAAGATTCTCCAAGAAAAGAAACAAAAAAGTATTTGAAGAAACTTTGTTGCAACGGAATTTAAGGAATAAGCGTTTCCTGAACTGGGCCCCCCAAATGATTTGTTCAAAAAGCAAATGAAGATCAAAAAATGTATAACAAGTATCATGTAACTTAAAATTACAAACGGATAATGCAGTGAAAATGGATCAAGATGTCTTTTCACCTTAGCAATCTGTTGTGTTACTTAGGAAGGTAGAATGAGATAGAAATATTTCAATTTTTCCTCCAGAATATTGGTCCTGCTGAAAGTACTGTTTATGAGCAGAAAGAAATATGGTTTTCATGCAATCTGTGAGAACTGCAGTTATTAAAGATACATATTAACCTTACTCTTGACTTATCAATGTCATCTAAACCCTTGCCCCTCCGAGGACCATCATCTTACAACTTCTAAGAAGTGCAGAACCTCAGAGTCCACCCCAGCTCCACTGAATCAGGATCTGCATATCAGATAACATGTAAATGATTCATATGATGATTAAAATTTGAAAGGCACCGACACACTGGCATAATCCAAGGGCAAACATTGGGAAGCTTTTTGTTATAGCCACAGCTCTTCTTATAGCTGAAGACATTCTGGGATGAACCCAAACTGTTGTTGTAGGCTGATCTAATAATAGTTGATTGCGAACATTGATGATAGAAGAGATCCTGAATATCAACATAAAATGATCAAGAGATGAGATTTAGGAAACTCAAATCAATATAAATAAAAGTACTTGAAATTTGTCTATTGAAGAAGAATAAGTGATAACCAATTGGTCCATATCCATGTGTTAACTCTTGTGTTAAGGGTTATCTTCTATAACATTTTCCGGTAGATTCCATTAGAGAAAAAGTCTAGACCACTTTTGCTTTAAAATGAAAATCCTTAGAGTAAGATAAAATGTAATTAATTATACCTGAAATCTGCACAGTGAACTGAGAGTAATACACCATTGAAAAGCAAAGGATTATTGCAACCTATTACAGTAAGGATGTCTACTGTACTAGGGAAAAATCTTAATTTTTACGGTTTATGACTATGCTAATTCCCTAAACAGAAACTTGTGCGACGTTTATGGTAACTGAGGAAAATTTTCTCTCTCCTTAAGCACTGAAATTTGCATTTTCTAATGTCACATACGTGGTAAAACATTGTCATGGAAGGAATAAGTTATTCAGAAGTAGAATTCACCTACAATAATATCAACACTTTCATTTCAAGCTCATTGATTTTTTTTTTTACCTTAATGAGTACTGGAATTAGTGGAGTACAAAAAGCCCTATATCGGTTGAAAATCTTCTCACAACTCAATTTAATTTAATTTGAAAATAGCTGTTTTACTGTCTCTCAAACTAAATTTAAGAAATCAAACAGAGCATTAACATGTTAATTAATAAGAGGTTCAGTAGGAAGGTAGGAAATGATTAGTTGCATTACGATTGCTTCAGATTTTCTCTAGGAAACTCATTAAAGTGCTCTTCAGATGTGCTTTTCTGAAAGGATGACAAACACATGGCACATGTTCTTTAGGAATCTTGAGGTGCATGTAAGGCCTGTGTCTAGCTTCTCTCCACGGTGTAGAGCCTCACTGCAGTGAAATTCAATAAGTGACAAAAAGACTTGTGCTAAGCCCAGTACAGTCAGCAGTTATGAAGAGAAAAAGTCCACATTGGTGCCATAGGGAGAGAGATGGCCCATGTTGTGCTTCTAGGATTCAGAGATGAGAGGAAGAACTCTCTAAGAAAACTGCATCTTACACCTTTTTACAATTTAAATTTTTTTTCTAAATAATGCCACTTCTCTGAGGTTTCATTTTCCACGGTTTGGTTTCTTACAGTCAACTGCAGTTGACCACAGTCTGAAAGAATGAAATGGAAAACAATCATAAATCAACAATTCATAAGTTTTAAATATTTTATTACTTTATTTTGTTGTAATGGTTCTGTTTTGTTATTAGTTGTTGTACTTATTTCATCACTGTATCAGTGCCCAATTTATAAATTTAAATTTATTATAGATAGATATTAGGATATACATAGTTTGTATAGGTTTCAATATTAGCCATAGTTTCAAACATCCATGAGGTGTGAGGTTCTTGGAATATATGCTCCTTGGATAAGTGGGGATACTATACTGTTTTAGCTTCCTTGATCTCAATCATTCTGGTAATTAAGTAGAATGGACATAATTCCTAAAAGAATGATAATTTGTAGTCAACTCATTTTAGCCGTCTTTT